CGTTGCTTTAATTGATTTTAACTTTCAAATTCAGTTACATACTGTACAGTATAATTGAAACCAAGCAAATGTAAGTATTACTAATTGTATGTTCCCATATAATCAGGTTTACTAACTTAATTTTGAATTGATTGGTGTAGTCATATAGTGCCTTGATAAAGTTCCCGATCTGGAAGCGAAACGTTGGCCTTTTGCTAATAAGTATAAGAATATATATGTTTCTATGCACCTAATGTGTTTATTTTAACAAATAATATTCTTATTGCTAGAACCCGAAAATTTGGAACGTTAAACAAATTTACAACTTTTTATCATCAAAATACGTATAAAAAAATATTTTGAACGAAAACAATTCTCGCGTGGAATATATACTTTGACAAATTAATACAAATTTTCTTCTGAAACGTATTAGGTACCTAGATTGTAAGTTTAAAAAATATACAAATATTTTATATCCAATGAGATCATACATAAGAGCGACAGAATTTGTTCAAATTTTATGGATAATAGGAGAGCTAATAAATGATTAATTAATTTTTTTTGTAGTGTCTTCTTCAGTGTGTTTATCGAAAAATGAAAGCAGTAAGTACCTATACCTGCACAATTACCTTCATATGTAAATAAATATCGTTTACTTATTTTATTGATAAAATACGTATTTTTTTTACTTATTGATATTTAAACGAAAGGAAGTACATAATGATAGTATGATGACCCCGTGAATTATCATGTTGTGTTGTACTGATCATTAGTAACTTTATAAGTCAATGAATCATTGATAAGTTTTGTCTGTGTGAATTTTTAACTTTTATTTATCGCAAAAAATCGTAATAAACATTTCATTGGTCTCGTTAACAATTATTACGTACGCATATACTCATACATCAGAGAATTCTCAAAAAATAAATGGATTTATCCAATTAGGAGTCAACTTAATTAATAGCTTAGACTAAAATAAAATGACAAACTTTTAATTCAAACAGCCACTTATTCAATGTCAGAGTGTAAAATGTTAAATTAGTTATTAATTTCTCAAAATTCAACACATAGTTGCAAAAAATAAAATTTACCTAGCGCCTCCACCAAATTTCAATAAAACTTTTTTATTTATTTATTATATTGAAAAAAAAACTTATTGAATTCTCTTCATTTACCGATACGTACCTAAATATGCCGTTCCCTAAATAATAGTAAAGGTAAATAGGTAACTGAGAAATTTTTCTACCGTTCAGACATTCTACTTTTCGGTTGAATTCGCTAGTTTAATGGAACAGCAGTTGTTTGTGACCACTGACCAGTAGGTATAGGAATTTTATTAAATTTAGGTAAACGAATTTGGATTTCCCAGGCCAGATGGACTTGTTACGTTATACACAGAAGGTGTTACAGATCCTGAATACATAAAAGGGACATTTCGAGCGGTGAATAGCTGCCTAGCAAACGCAAAAAAGACATATGCAACTACTTTGGAAAGTGTTAAAGGTAAATAACATAAAGTCAATTTTATACGCAGGTACCTAGCAATAGGTAATTACATAAAATATGCAATTATTAATTAGTTATTATCAATCCCAAGTGTTTGATAAAATGTAAGATAACAAGTGCTAAGCATGTAAGTACCTACGTATAGATAGGTACCTAATACATGAATCTATAAGTTGATCGGAAATGTTTCTTACAGTAATAAAACAGATAATTATTTCCTTTCTGTAATTTTTAGACGATGGAACAACCTGCGATGTCGCGTTCTACACCTTCGATTGCATTTCTGATTTAATAGACGAATATTGCAAGCAAAATCCGTAGCAGCTTAATCTGTCTTTTTTATTATTAGCTATTACATTTTAGTACAAGTTTTAATTCTACACACTTACGTACCTTTGTAATTATGTATTGTAAATAATAATAAAAAATTGTTATTAAAAACTCACACTATTAGAATACGTATTTGTATTTATTTTTCCTCGGTGCCCAATTTAAAACGCTTCACTGCCACGCACGCACGCACGCATGCACGCACGTGTTTGTCACTTATTTCTAAAAAACAATAACGAAATAACGATCACGACTACTGTTTTTTAGACATGAAATAAATTTACTAATGATTATTGCAAGTGGACCATTTTAGATAGTACAAATCTACTCTAACGATAAGTAAAACAAACATGTAGGTAATAAGTACGTAATCATAATAAAAGCCGTGTAAATTTTACTGCGGCTTTTATTATCACGATTCCATTGCTGATTAGGTATTTCTTTCTTGTTTTGCTTATCTACGAATAATTGAAGATTGGTGGTACGT